GCTGTCTCCCTCTCTCTCTCTCGCTCTTGCCGGTACTTGTGAAGCTTGCGAGATTTTTCCTCGAGCGGCAGGTGCCTGTTGGCAGGGAGAGGTGTGGCGATGTCTTTGGGGTCGATCTTCACCTGAAAAAGGACGGGCGGGACTTCCCAGGCCCCCAGATGCACAGGACTTCGACAGGCGAAGGGCCGGCTTGTCCAGCGAGCAGCGCACGTAGAACTTCCTAGCAGCGGACCCAACAAAAGAACTCTGAGAGGGGTCTGGCATCCCGCGGGGCTGTGCCTGAGAAGAATACATATCACAGTCTTGGCTTGCGTGATGGCGAAGAGGTTTCCTCGAACGGGGACTCGGGAGACGCTCACAAAAACTTGACAGGCTCCTAACTTCAGAGAATCTCACGTGATGCAGGGGGCTCTGGTTCCCCGCCTATGCAGAGACGCCTTCCGCCGCCAAAGGGAATGAACTGGAAGGGATGGAAGTCCCGCATCTTCGCCGGCTCAAACCGCTCTGGAATGAAGTCTTTGCTGTTGTCGCCCCAGTACTTCTTGCCTCAAAAGGGGGCTTCGAGGCCGAAAGCAGAACGGTTACCGGGCCCAAGGCCGCCAAGGCCGCTTGGGCCCCGGCTCTGGGAGATGCCCATGATGTGGATCGCCTCAAATCACACCGGGAATGAGCCCCACTGCGGCTGTGCAACGCTGCCCTCTCCGGGCTCCCGGGCCACCCAGGAGTTCCCTGTGCAGAGGGAGGCAGAGAGAGAGAGAGAGAGACTGCGGTGCAACTGCGCTCTTCCGCGCCTCGGCCGGAGTGGCCTCCGGGGAGCAGCGTGTACTTCCCGCACTCCACGGGCTGCGTGAGCCCTCGCTGCGCCACCTCCCGCGGCGCTTAGAAGCGGAGAGCCGGCATTCCCTTCCCTTCCCCTCCCTTCCCCTTTTATGAGCAAAACGGGCTGCAACTGCTGCCGCTCGGTGAGCCTGCACTGGCGCACTCAGGCGGAGGGTCTCCCGGACGACCATGTCCAGATACTTCAGGCGCCTCACCGAGTGCCAAGCGCTGAAGCTGCAGCGGTTTTCGCCCCATGCGGCTTTGACTCTCCGGGTCTTCCCCGACCGCGTCCTCAGGTCTTCTCCCGTGGGCTCTCGATCATCGCCCTGAAAGACCTGGCGCAGCTCGGCATAGAGCTTCCTTAGATCCCAGTTGAGAAGCTGCGGGCAAGGATGCAACAAGCTGCGGGCAAAGGCTTCCAGCAATGGCAGCAGAGGCTCTTCTCCACTTGTGGGCTGCGGCCGATATGGTATAAAGCCCAAGTAAGGAGCAAAGTGGTCGTCTTGTGTCCCGCGACCAGCCTTCAGTCGGCGCGCGGTTGCGGAGGCAGGCGGCAGACAGGCTGCAGCATCTCAAACAATTGCTGGCGAGGGCACATGGTCAAGAGCTGGTCTTGAAGCTCCGACTGCGTGAAGCTGCGGCCAGTAAGGGGGCACTTCGCCCCGATCAGAGCATGCAGCCTCCGTCTCACAGAGCCGCGAACAGATGCATGAAGCGTATACACGGCTAAACCGGGCTTGGAGAAACGTCGCCGAGGCCACGGCAGGCTGTTGCTGGAGCCGGTGCTCTTGCCTTCCCTCCAGGGCCAGGCGAGTGCAGGCGAGTGCAGGCGGGGACTTGCGAGAATGACTAGCTTTTTGGAGAGCGGGACCGGACCCAGGGATCCCGCCGCTGCCTGCATGCCTCGATGATCTCGTCAAGCATCCCGGTCAACTTGTCAAGCTGACTGAGCATGGCAGAGCAGACTTCGCTGTATCTCATGACGGATGCGATGGAGAGCTCATGAGTCTCTGCCTCTTGAACCAGCGCCTTTGCGTCCCCAAGACATCCTCAAGTCTACAGAGTCTGCAGCCCAGTTTGCGAGGTTTGTCAACGCAGTGCTAAATGCAACTCGGGCTGCGAATGCGCCGTAGAGGCTGGTGCTGATGCCTGCATCAAGCCAAGCTCAAACCTCCCTACGTCACGTCCCGTCTCTCAAGCTGTCAGCATGCTTGCAATGCTGAAATGCTTGGCTATCCGCTGACTTCCAGCACTTCTTCGAAGAGCGGCAGAAGCTCCGGCATGTCCTTATATTCAATTGCCATCACTTGCCATCAGCGAGAAGGTTCTCGAGTTGTGGTCGCAGAGGCAAAGCCTTGTAAAGATGTCCAAGATTCTTCTGACTCCATGCATTGCAGATCGTGCCCAAACCCGACGTCGCAAATGGTGTCCATGGTGGTTCGCTCGATCCAGTTCTTGGTCGCAAGATGTCGCAAGACAACGCAGCACAGGGCATGTGGGCATCAGGTTTTTCGCCTGCGGAACTCTAGGCCTTGCTGAGGCTCGAAAATGTCGACGGTTTCCGTGGTCGTGCTGATCTTCTCCTGGCATCTTCATCTGCAGCCTTGCAGCCTCTGCGGAAGGGGTGTTCGGCGGGGGGGGGGGGAAGGTCCTTCAACTTCTTGCCGCGCATGGCGAAGATGGGCACCAGCTTGTCAATGGCCTCCGGCGTCAGCTGCGCCTCCCAGCGAGTTTTGCCAGCGAGGAAGTCACTTCACGGCTCGGAAGAGCAAGCGCTGTGCACAGCGGCCCCCCACGGCCCCCCCCCGCGCAGCGGCCTGAAAGGTCTGGCGCGCGAACCTGGGCGAAGAGGCGCGCGTTTGCGAAGAGAGCAGTCTGAGAGAGCGTCGGAGCGCTCGTCGCTCGTCGCTGGGCCGTCGGCTCCCAGCGCTGGCCGTCGGCGATGAAGACGCCCTGCCCGGCCAGAGCCGGGCAGCCGAAGACCTCCGCGAAGCGAGCAGCGAAAGGGGACCGGCGCCGGCGCACCGCGGGCCTCTCTGGGAAGCCGCTTGTCGGGGATCTGGTTCACGATATCCACGATCTCCGGATCCGCAACGACCTATAGCCATGCCCAACTAGAGCGCCGGCCCCCCAACCCACACGCAACAAACAAAACGACGCAGTCAGCTCTGAGAAGTATCAAGGGCCTAAAGGGAGGGGTTTTGCAGCCGAGGGGGCATAGACCACATCATCGAAGATGCGCAGCTTCACGAGAGGCCCGTACCTTGCGCAGCCGGCCGCGGTTTAGGGCTTTCTCTCGCGTGCTCTTCGGCTCTCTTAGAAAGACAGTCTTGGAGCCGCGCTTTTCCACGAGAGGAAAGCATTGGATCCAGAGGTCCGGCAGGCCTCAGCTGCACAGCCGCCGCAGAGACGGAGATGGGACGACGCGGAGCCGACGCGGAGTTGACGGTGCGGGCCGAGGTGCAGTCTTTCAAATTCCCCGTTGTGGGGAGTGCCGTCCTCGCATGCGCGATTTTTCTCAAGTGCTCTCGTCAGAAATGCTTTCGGTCCAAAGCTGGAAGCTACGAAAGCTGTGTGTCTGTGCAAGAGACATAGGGACGGCCGCCCGAGAAAGCCCGTTGCGTGCCGGCAAGCGACGGCTGCGGAGGATGCACCACAGACCTGGCCAAAAACATCAGAAAAAGGGGGGATCCGGGCTTCCCGTCCCGTCTATACCCTTCTTTGCGGGGGCCGCCTCGCAGCACGCGAGCCAGCCAAGGTTCGCCACAGGGGACCTCCGATGCCACAGACTTGGGAGCTTGGAGGGTGAAGCCGAGGCTGAGGTCTGGGCGGATGAGAAGATCTCCGAATTGATAATGTGCATGGTTGCTGCCCCACCTCGGGAGCTAGACGAAAGCTCGGTAAGGAAGGAATGCCGTCACTCGTTCCGTCGTTCCGATCAAAAAGACAGAATTATTAAGCGAACAGTACCGCAATGCTACGAACCCACGTTGAACCGCGCGACTTCCACTTGAAGTTGCTGCCGTCTGTGCTGACCAACTCCAAGTCGATACTCATCGCCGGATTCTCGCTGCTTGGCTTTGCCTGGCCCGTGGCCAAGTGGCCCCCCCCAAGCCCCCAACTCCCTCCTCCTAAGTCACTTCGAGGTGTTTTTTGGGATGTGTGCAGCGCACGTGAAAGGGCGGCGGAGGGGCACCTTCCTTCGTGAAACATGACCATCCGCGGCGGCTAACAGCCGTGGCGCCTTCTTGCTGTCACTTGCCAAGGTCTTGGCATGGGCGTTCCGCACATCCTGGATGCTCAGAATCTCCTGACCATCCTTCCGGCGATGCGCTGTTGGCCACATGTCGTGTGTGTGCGTGTGTGTGTGTGTGTGTTTGTTTGTTTGTTTTGTGCAGGGATCCTCTGCGAAGAGGCGTCGGGTCGCATTGCCGGTGCATTCCTCAGACTTGGCTCCACCCTCTGCTCACGCCGATACAAGCTCGTCGCTGGTCGAGGACACACAGAAGAAATGGACCCAGATGCGTGGGGGAGTACCCAGGTCTGCCCCCACCCACCCCCCCCCCCGATTTGGTGCCGAGCTGCAGCCGCACGGGCCAGCAACTTCGCCAACGACATCTCCTGTGGCTGATCTAGGGCATGCTCCGAGAATCCTGTAGTTGCACAACAAACCTGACTTCAACCCTCCCCACGCTGACCAAGCATCCTCGTCCATCCGCAGCACCATGGTACCCGCTTTGCCTGCCAAAGCGCCCGAAGCCGAAGCAGACGTGACTCAAATGCCTAGTCAAATCGCTCTAATCGCTCGGGCCGCTGCCGTCAAGCTGGTCGATGATTCCGAGCACCACGGTGTTGGCAGTGCTGGCCCTGATGCCTCAAAGCGAAGCACTGGCTAAAGGCTCCCCCCGCCCAAACATCCTTCCGATCTTTGTCCCTTTTTGTTGGCTTTGCCCCGCAGGTCTCCGGCCGGGGCGATCGGCGGCGATTCTCGCTCTCTTCTCTAGCGAGGCGCTGTCTTCCTCCCCGCTCTCCGCGCAGCCGGCCGAAGCCGTAGCCGGCTGCGGGCTCTGCGCGAGGCGCTGTCGGCGCTGTCCCTGCTATGAGGTCTCGCATGTCGCATCGGTCCACGCCGCAGCACGGCTGGCTTGAGACTATCACGCCAAAGAGACGCTTTGGGCACCTCAAATGGGGCGGCGAGCGCCGATGACGAACCAATCGTCTTGCCTCCAAGCGATGTCAATCTCGAGGAACCCAGCATCCTCCAGTAGCCTGCAGTGCTCGTAGACGCCGGGATGGCCGTGGGAGACACGGTCACCCAGAAAAACATGGCCACCAGGCACCAGGCTCGAATAGATCCCTTTGAAGACTTTGGCGTAACCCTCGCGGATCTGCTCGGGTCCTTCGGCCAGCACTGCAAAAAACAAACCCCAAGCAACTCACCCCAACAGGGGACTGTGCGCACGCGCGCGTGCGCAGCGCCTGCGGCCGTCGCGAGCCCGTGCTTCTCGGCGTAATGGGCCGCAGGGGCGACGATGTGCCGCACGGCCTGGAGCGCGAGCACGCAGTCGTAGCCCGACACAGTGCCTGCGAGCAAGGAAAGGAGAACACACCGGCGAGGCCCGGGGCCCGGATAAAAACCTGAGGAAGCTCTCTGGGGACGCCTCTGGACCCCTTGTAGTTTTCCGGCCTTCTGGGAGACCCGGCAAAGGCTCTCCAGAACGCACTGCCGCAACAACGAGGTGCGGCTCCGGCACCTCTCCAAACCCCAACGGTATACCGCTCTTGTCTGCTATCCCTCGACGAAGATGGCTCAGAGGAGACCAGTTCTGCAACACTCTGCGCCTCCGACGAGGACACTGCCGAAGCCTCCGCCGCCCGGCGCAGCTTGATCAGTGCCGTTCTCAGGCGACCCTTGTGTGCAACGTCTGGCACTTCGCGCATCTGAAGTGATACTGTACATGCTCTTGGCAGACTGTTGCAGTGGGTCAGTGTGGCCTCGTCAGGGTCGATGAGCGTGAAGTGCGCCCGGGGATATGCTGCAGCTACCGCTGCGGCGGACCGCCCGGTTCCAGCACCCAAGTCCACGACAAACTTTCCAGAGAGCGGCGGCAAGGCATACACGAACTCGCCTTCGATGCACGGTTTGCTTCTAAGGAGGACCCAATGCTAGACCTAGACCAAGCCAAGTATCGCAGGCAGTCTTGGCAGAGGGGCAAGCGCCGCGCCATCTGCAGGTCGTACCAGTCGTCATCAGCCCAGAAACCCGACGGGGGCAGAAAGAGCAAGTTCTTCGTCCTCAGGTGCTCAGACAAGTAGGCCGTTGCAATTCCTTGGGAAAGCCACGAGCTCGACAACTTGGCGAAGCCGGGAAGCCAGGTGCTGCACGAAGCAACTTGCGCAGCTCTGCGCTTCTCTCGTCGGTCCAGATACCTAAAATCATCGCTACGAGCCTACGAGCTTCGACTTAGCCAGCTTTGCCCCACGAAAATCCCGGCCTCAAGGTGATCCAGCCTGCACTTGTTCCAGCCAGAGCAGCAAGTCGAGCGCCGCAGGTCATGACCGCGGTGTGAGAGGCCCGAGGCGGCGGAAAAGCTTGAGCCAAAGCGGCCTTCTCAAATCGCAGAGATTGCTCTTGACATGTGGCAAATGCCCCCATGAGCAGTACGTCTGAAGCAGAACCAGGCGGCGTCGGGGAGCTTGCAGGGTAAGCTCTTGGTTGTCTGTCCTGGCAGGGGAGACTTGCGAGACGGAGAGCCTGGGCGATTCCGCTTTGGTTTAGGCCGGGCCGCTCTTCGCTCTCGCTCGGGCTGCGGTAGAGGAGAAGAGACAGGATGAGACAGAGGAAGCCGAAGACGGGGCCTGAGCTCATTTCTTTAGCACAGCAACTGCTGCCGTCTGAGGCCGAGGTGCCCAGGAGGAGCGACCGCAGCCCCAAAGCATAGTCGCAGTCTGACGAGAACGGAAATGAGAAACACCCGTTCACCGACCCACTCAACAGTCTCTCTTTTGCCGACTCTCTCTCTCTCTCTGGCAAGGCCGCCTGCATCGCAGCTGGGACCTGCCCCACCCCCATGGGAAGCGTCCTCTTTGCAGCCCGTGAGCCATCCGGGAATGTAAGCTCCTCACGGAACTGCCACGTGTCCAGCAACCCAGCACAGAACAAACCGAGTGGGAGAGCTTCTATGACACTCTGCTTTGTCCTCCAGCCATACCCAAGAGGTT